GTGTGGTGCTGGGGATTGAACTCAGGACCTTCAACTAAGCTATATCTGTCCTCAACCCTTTTTTATTTTGTGACAAGGTCTTGCTGAGTTGCTAAATTTCCCAGGCTAGGATTGAATTTGTAATCCTTCTGCTTCAGCCTCCCAGAGTGCTGGGATTACAGGCGTGCACCCCTATGCCCGGCTCTAAGGAGGTTCTTGCCATTCATCATGGAAAAAGAATTTGAGGATCCATCAATGTGATGCCTTGGCAGACTCACTAGGCAAAGTCAGAAAGTAAGGCAGGATGGTCCCTCCAGCCTGAGTTTCTGGAAGGTAGGTGCCCACTCACAGAAGAACAAAACCAGCTTTTCCAGATTCCTGGGGCGGGCTAGGTCTGGTCAGATCATTGTCTCAGTTCTGGCTTCATTACATGGAGACCCTGCTGCCTCAGTTCCATCTGTGTTCTTGTCCGCAAGGCCCTGCCTTTCCTGGAATCCGAAGCGACTAGAGCCTTGGAGATGTGCAGGCATCACTCCAAGGGCTCTGGCAACTGATTGTCCCTGCAACTCCTGAAAATCAGTTACTCTTATCTCACTGCCCTCAGTCTCTTTGAAGGGGGGGCGGTGAGGACAGGGGATGAGATTCGGCCAGGCAAGGGCCACTTGTAATAATTAACCTTGTGACACAGGTACTCCTTGAATGATTAACATGACCAGGTGCAGAGCTGAGCAGGGAGACAAAAAATTGATTTTCTTTGTGTCCTTTCTACCCAAATTGATTTCTTTCTCCTACCTCACTGGGAGTAGGTTTGGTTGGAGGGGGTTGTGGGTAGCATGGGCACCTCCACGGCTACTGCAAGCCTAGTATGTTTTTAATCCTCACCTCTGTGTCTGCTGAGTTCCTGCTCCCTGAGATGTCTGACCTACCCCTCCATTTCCCCTACGACAGGCACACTCACCTTTCAGGACTCTGAGTACTCATCTCTTCTCCTTCTCCTTCTTCTTTTTTTGGTTTTTTTGTGACAAGGCCTCGCTTTGTAGTTCAGGCTGGCCCTAAACTTACTATGTGGCCATGTTGGCCGTGAACTTGCAGTGATCCTCCTGCCTCAGCCTCACAGAGTTCTGGGATCACAGGCATGTGCCACCACACCTGGCCTCGTCCACCTCTTCTGAGAAGCCTTCCTCGACTACCTACCCCAGCCCATGGCCAGTCCCTATCATAGCTCTTAGCATTTATATTATAATTGCCCTGCACACATTTTATTCCCTGCATCTTATTCTGAGGAACCCTCTCAGGTACCTAGTTCAATGCTTGAGACACAGTAATGCTGAATTGAACTTTACCTTAAAAATGTCCCACTTCATCGTTCTTCTTCAACAAAGGACAGGATGGTCACACCCCTAACACAGACCTCTTATTCCCTAATACAGTCTTTAATTCATACAATTTTCATTTTGTGTTATATTTGCATATTTGTTGCTGCTGGGATTTATGTTTCACCCTTTAATCCTATCTACCCCATTTATAATCCCAGCTACTCCAGAGGCCGAGGCAGGAGGATCACAAGTTCAAGGGCCAGCCTGGGCAATTTAGCAAGATCCTGTGAAACAAAAGGGATGGAGATGTAGCTCAGCATTCCCTGGGTTCAATCCCCCAAAACACACTCACACACAGAGTTCATTGGTAACCTCTGAAGAGCGATTCAGGTCGCAGTAAACTGCACCCCTACTCTGAGATTATTTGCATTTAAGAGTGAAGGCTGAAAAAGGAGAGTTCCTTTTGCCCAAGAGGAATTTCAAGCATCTACAGCTGGCCAGTGAGGTCGATTTTTTTAAAGGGCCAGAGGCCTTTTGGGGAGCCACTACGAAATACCCCATAGAAGGAGGCAATTTAGTTTGGTCTCGACCAGCAACAGAACTATCCTGAGGTCTTGCCCGCATCCCTAAGGAGGCCCAGTTTGCAAAGACAAAGCGAGGGAGTGGGCTCCACTGAAACAAACCTTTCCATTCTCCCTGCTCCGGCTGAATCTCTGCCCCTTCCCCCCATGTTTTTGTCTGTGAGGGAAATTCTCCTTCTGCCAGCAGAACCCGGGACCCTGGCCAAGCAGCACGCTGTCAGCAGCCTCAGCCAGCAGGAACGCATAATCCTCCCACCCTTTGGTTTTAGGGGGTAATATTAGCTTTAAAAAAATACTCTCAATTCTTCTTGTTCGTGTGGTATATAGCTCGCTCATTTCAGACATGCTCCTTTCTCCAGTAATTACCGCCTACGCTTGGGAAATTTCAGCATCTCCCAGAACAAAAAGGCGGCTTTCAGACTGCAGTGTCGCTCTTCTTTCATTCCCACCATTCCCGGAGTCGAAGGGACACAGTGACCTCAAGTTCTAACGTCTCTAAAATCCAGAGTAATGAGCGATTCCTTTTTTCCACTGTGTAAAGGTGATGGTCCCCTAGTGACTCGCGGCATCTGGGCAGGGACAAAAGCCATGCCGCAGAGATGCCCTGTCCTTCACTTCCTCTGAGGAGGCTGCTGGGCGCTGGAGCCTCCGCGTCTCAGCTGGGGAACAAAGCACGACGAAGCTCTCTCGTGCTTCGGGCTGCGACCCAGCTCGGGCCGACAAAACGCACTGAAAGTCTAATCTGCCAACCGCCATGCTAGAGCTGAATTAATTCCATTCAGCCAGTACATATTGAGGCGTACCCGGAGCTGGCAGTAAGGGGACAAAGGATGAATCATGACCCCTCCTTCAGTAGCTCACAGTGTGGTCAGACAGTCTGCAGACAATTATAAAACAATGTGATGAGCGCTGCGATGGAAGGGCAGAGGCAGGCACAATAAAATTCCATTTGGGGAATGGGACTGTTAAGTTCCTTAGAGAGCACTGTAATAGCTTTCAAACCCTCTGCCTTGTTCTACAGTAAGGAACACATATTTTTAATTGATGTTTTAATCGAGATCGTTGTGGTGCTCCTGTAGTTGGAAGAAATGCTATAGGGAGCCAAGTGTGGTGGGGTAGACCTGTGGTCCCAGCTACTCAAGAGGCTGAGGCAGGAGGATCGCTTAAGTCCAGGACTTTTAGGCCAGCCTGGGCAAAAGAGTGAGACACTGTCTCTTAAGAAAAAAGGGGGTGGAGTGGGGAAATAATACAGAAAGCTCTTGGTACACTGGCCACTTCCTCCAATGGTAACATTTTGGGAAACTATATTGTAATATTACAACTAGGCTATTGACATTGATTTAATCCCCCGATCTTAATCAGATTTCCCTAGTTATACTTGCATCTATGTATGTGTGAGTGTGTGTTTGTGCGTATCTTTAGTTCTATGCCATTTTACCCTTGTGAAGTCACGTATCCATCGCTACAGTAAACATACAGGGCGTTTCCATTCCTGCAAATCTCCTCCTGTTGTCCTTTTATAAGGACACCCACCCCCCTCTCATCCCTGTCCCCAATCCCTATGACCACTTATTTGTTCTATATTTTTAAAATGTTATCATTTCAAAAATGTTACATGAATGGAATCACACAAAACTTTCAGGCTTGGCTTTAGATTCAGCCAGGCTGTGCATGTATCAATGGTTCATTTCTTTTCATCGTTAAATAGTAATAGAAGACTCCATGGTATAGAATTCCAAAGTAAGGAATACCACAGTTTGTTTAACCACTCATCTGTTGAGGAACAGCTGGGCTGATTCCAGTTTTAGGCTATTATAAATAAAGCTACTATGAACATTTGTGTACAGGTTTTTCTACAGACATGACATAAGTCTTTTTTTCTGGGATAAGCACTCAGAAGTGCCATTGTTGGGCTTAATTTTTTCTTTCTTTCTTTCTTTCTTTTTGGTGCTGAGGGTTGAACCCAGGCGCATGCCAAGCCCATGCTTTACCACTAAGGTAAAGCCCTAGCCCACAGGTTTAATTTTTTTTTCTTTTTTCTTTTTGGTATTGGGGATCGAACTTGGGTCCTTGCGCTTGCGAAGCAGGTGAAGAAACCACTGAGTTAAATCCCCAGCCAACAGGTTTAATTTTTAAAAGAAACTGACACACCATTTTCTAGAGTGGCTGTGTCATTTTACATCCTCACCAGCAAGGTAGAAGTGATCTAGTTTCTCTGCATCCTCTTCAGCATTTGCTGTTGGTCACTATTTTGAATTTGTATCCATTCTCATATGTGTGTAGTGACCCCTCGTTGTGGTCTTCATTTATATTGCCCTAATGGCTTTTCATGTGTCTCTTTGCTATCTGTATTCCTCCTTAGTGTAGTGCCTCTTCACGTCTTTCGTCTAGTTTTTTTGGTATCCGGGATCAAGCTCGTGTTCTTGTGCTTTCGGGGCAGGCAGCGGAACCACTGAGCTAAATCCCCAGCTCTGTCTAGTTTTAATTGCACTATTTGTGCTCTTTCTGCTGAGTTTTGAGAGCTTTTAAAAAATATATTTGAGCCAGGCCTTATGGCACATGCCTGTAATCCCAGCACTCTGGGAGGCTGATGCATGAGGGTTGCAAGTTCAAGCCCAGCCTGATCCTGAAAATAAAAAACTGAAAAAAAAAGGGGTTGGGATGTAGCTTAGTGAGAAGGCCCTGGGTTCAATCCCCAGTAGATATATATATGTTCTAGGTGTTAGTCCTTTGTCAAATATGCAGTTTGTTTATATTCTCTCCCGGCTATAGCTTGCCATTTTATTCTCTTCACGTGGGCTTTCACAGAGTAGAAGTTTTAAATTGGTACAATTTATGAAAATTTCCTCTTCTAGTTCATGCTTTTGGTGTTGTTTTAAGAACTCTTTGCTTCACTCATGGATTCTCTCTCTCTCTCTCCTCTCTCTCTCTCTCTCTCTCTCTCTCTCTCAGACACACTATGAAGGCCTTTATCAGTTTCAGAGAAATCACACTAACACTGAACGGAAGACAGGTAGTGAGTCAGAACTGAATAACTCTGTATTGGTCAGCTTGGGCTGCCGTAGCAGATACCACAGGCAGAGTGGCTTAAACAACAGGAATTTATTGTCTCACCATGCTGGAGGCTACAAGTTCAAGATCAAGGTGCCATGGAGGTTGCTTTCTGGGGCGGCCCCTGTTCCCCACTTGCAGACTGCTGCCTTCTTTCTTCATCCTCACATGGCCTTTCTTCTGTCATGGCAGCCTTGAGATCCTGAATCAATTCAAAACATTTACCTTTCATGGTCATTCTGCCTCTGAGGAAGAGCCAGAAGTTGCTCAGATGAGAACACACCATAATGTTTCTACACACCTGCCTTTCTGTTGGATGGCACTCAGCTGCTGCATTCACCATATTTTTGATTGCACCTTATAAAGACGTGAGAGAGGACTTCCAGAACTGTTACAGAAAGTGGCAAGACCAATGGGCCAAGTGTGTCTGAAGCGAAGGGGAGTACTTGGAGGGGATTAATGACAATCTATCTTTCATTATAGTAATTTAAAAAATTTAAACAGGGGCCGGGGATTTAGCTCAGTAGTTCCGCCCCCTGCCTCGCAAGAAAAAGGTCCTGAGTTCGATCCCTGGTACCAACAACAACAAAAAATTTAAACAGTCACTGTATATTTCAACCATACAACGTGTGTGCTCATGGGATAGAAGTGAGATCTGGCATTTCTTCCTCTTTTAGGACACCAGTCCTATGGTTTTATGCTTCCCTCGACCTCATTTAACCTTCAGGCCTCCCTAAAGGCCCTGTCTCCAAATACAGTCACATGGAGGGTTAGAGCTTCAACAAATGAACTTGGATTTGGGGGCAGGGCAGGACAGATGCCAGTCAGCCTATGACAAATGAGCCCAGCATACTGAGAGAGCTTCTTTGGCTTCTATGGTGAAACCTGTGTTGCTTGCCACATCCAACATTATGTGCAGGCATAGGTGCCAACACAGCCTGGCACCGAGTGGGTGCCAATCATGCCCTTGTATACTCGGTGTATTTCTATTCCCTTCCCCCTCCCTGGTTTTCTAGGGGTCCTTCCTGCCCCTCCCACTTTGGTAACAAGGTTATGACCATAAGAACAGGTAACTTTCGTATAGGATTCCCATGACACCCTGGGCACAGGAAAAGGACTAGATGCAAGCTGTGCCAATCACAATCCTTGTCTGGAAAGTTTGACTCTAATGCTTTCAACTGACTTTAGCTGTTCTAATAAAAGAAATCTAAACTTGGGAGCCCTTAGTGGAGACCATGTTCTGTGGAGACTGGGAAATGGGGACGGGGTAGGTTTTGCTGGGTGAAGGTGGAGCAGATGTAGAGAGAGAGAAAGAGGCCACAGAAAGTGCTCCAACCCTTCTCCCACCATCCCCTGTCCCTGGCTTCTCTGAAACTCCAAGAATAAATTGTTGAGGGGAGCAGGAAAGGATGGGAACAGGCAGGCAGCCACACTGAACTCCTAATCCATCTCTCTCCCTACCCATCCCAGGGGCACTTTGTTCCCTCTAAAGTGGACCTACTGGCCAGGCACAGTGGTTCACGTCTGTAATCCCAGCACTTGGGGAAACTGAGGCAGGATGCTCACAAGTTCAAGCCCAGCCTGGCTACTCAGTGAGACCCTCTATCAAAGTAAAAAATTTAAAAAAAGGCTAGGGTTATAGCCCAGTGCCAAGGTCCTGGGTTCAATCCCTGGAACCAACCATACACACACACACACACACACACACACACACACACACACACACCACTTCTAGCTTGGCATTCTCTTGAGAGTACTTCTGTCAAATAAAATAAAACACGAGTCACATGTAATTTTCAATTTCCTAGCAGCTATATTTTAAAAAGTAATAAGAAATAGCTCAAATAGGTTTTAATAATATATTTTATTTAACCCAGTATTCCACAATAGTATTGTTTCAGCATGTAATCATTTCAACATGTAACTCTGAATTTTAAAAATTGTCCCAAGTGATTCTCATTCAAGGTTGGGAAAATGGGGACCATCTGTTGCCTGGAGAGGCTCAGAAATTCCTCTGGGAAGTAGAAGCTGCAGAAGGATCACTGGGCAGGCAAACCCCTGGGCTTCTCCAGGGCTTCTCAGTGGTAGCTCTGTGCCCTGAAAGCCAGGGCAACTGGGCGAGAATCCCAGATTTCAATCTGCAACTAACCTGGCCACTTCCCAAAGGCCCCTTCTAAATAAGTCTGTGATGCTGGTTAACCCTCTAGGAGCTAAGAGTAGGGATTCCCTCCCTCATCAACATCATCCATCTGTCTTCTGTCTGTAATCTATCTTCAGATGGCCCCTGGTGTCAGAAAGCTCTATGTCTGACAATTCTAAAATTCATAAGAACCAGCAAAGATCTAGAATAGCAAAAGAAACCCTGGGCCACAAGAGCAAAACAGGAGGCATCACAATCCTGGACTTCAAGTTATACTACAAAGCTACAGTGATCAAAACAGCATGGTACTGGCACAAAAACACACCCATGGATCAGTGGAACAGAATAGAGGATGCAGAAACAACCCCGGACACTTTCAGCCACCTAATCTTTCACAAAGGGGCCAAAAATACACGCAGATAGAAAGATAGCCTCTTTAGCAAAGGGTGCTGGAAAAATTGGCTATCCATGTGCAGAAGATTGAAGCTAGATCCATATCTCTCACCATGGACTAAACTAAAATCAAAATGGATTAAAGATCTAAATATTAAAACAGAAATACTCAACCTGCTGAAAGATAAAATAGGTACAACTCTTGAAGTCACTGGCACAGGCAAAGGCTTTCTGAACAGAACTCTACTGGCACAAGAAATAACATCAAGAGTCAACAAATGAGGTCATATCAGATTAAAAAGCTTCTGCACAGCAAAGGAAACAACCAACAGAGTGAAGAGACAACCTGCAGAATGGGAAAGAAATTTTTCCAGCTATACCTCAGACAGAGGACTAATATCTAGAATACATAAAGAACTCAAAAAAATTAGACCTGTCCCCCAAAATAAAAGACCCAATCAAAAAATGGGCAACTGAAATGAATAGACACAAACTCATAATAGCTAAATCTTGGAATCGGCCTATATCCATCAACAGACAAGTGGATAAAGAAAATGTGGTATTTATACACAATGTAATACTACTTGGCTATAAAGAAGGATATTTTTGGGCTGGGGATTTAGCTCAGTGTTTCTGCTGCCTGCCTTGCAGGCACAAGGTCCCAAGTTCGATCCCCGGTACCAAAAATAAATAAATACAATAAAGAAGGATTTTTTTTTGGTACCAGGGATTGAACTCAGGACCTTGAGCTTGTGAAGCAGGCGCAGTACCACTGAGCTAAATCCCTGGCCCAAGAAGGATAAATTTGAGTCACTTGTAGAATGGATACAACTTGAAAACAAAATGTTAAGTGAAATAAATCAGACACACAGCTTAAATACTGCATGGTTTCTCTCATACAAGAAACCTAAAGGTTAAGTAAAGGGAAAAATAAAAGATAGATAAAAGGAAACACGCTTGTAAAATGGGGCTAATGATGTGACCGGCCTACCTGTCACAGAATAAGGATTAAGTAAGTCTGAATCCTATGAGGATGAAAAGCACAGTGACGTATGCTAAGTGTTCCATAAACGGTGTATGATACACAGACCTGCTCTCTAACAGACTGACAGCCTTCCAACAGCTCACAGAAAGAACAGCAAACACCACATCCAAAAGATACAAAGCAGGTATTTTTTTTTCTGTTTTGCTGTACTTGGGATTGAACTCAGTGCCAGCCCTTTTTAAAATCTTTTCTTTTGAGATAGGATCTTCCCAAGTCGTTAAGTTGCCCAGGCTGGGCTTGAACTTGGCAACCTCCTGACTCAGCCTATCAGAGTGGTGGGATTATAGGACAGCCAACATTTCAAATTTTGATGTGTTACAATACCCAAGCCTTAGCACAAAATTTCCAGTCCACATTCAGCTTTCTACTTGAAAACCAAAATGAATTTAAAGCCTTTTTCTGGACTTAGCATACATTTGCACTTCATGTTTTAGATATGAGCTATTCAAATGAAATTCTTTTTGTGCCATGGGCCCTTCTCCTTCCCTTTCCAGTGAGTTGACCAATATCTGAGATCTTTTCATGTCCTCATTAAAACATCCACTTTCCATTTGCTCTATCATTCCAAGTGATTTCTCTTTAGAGCACACATAAGTAATTTTAAACAGTGGCCCTGGAAACTGCTTTGACTGTTAGAAAAAGAACTCCTAAGGCGATCTGTAAGTGGGTTTAGCTGGAATCCACCCACATCCCCACAAAGCTAACTGCCCTTGTTTCACTGGAAGAAGGACTTCATGGGGCGAAAAATAAATAGCAGAAAATTCATGCTGGAAGGGACTTTAGAAAACCTTTGACATAGTCTCCCCCCCAACTCTTCCCCATACCAGGGCTTGAATCCAGGGCCTTCAAACTGAGCTACATTCCCAGCTCTTTTTAATTTTTTATTTTGAGACAAGGTCTTGCTAAGTCACTACGTTACCCAGGCTGGGCTCCAACTTGCAATTCTGCCTCAGCCTCCCAGAGTGCAGGCATTACCCACATGCACCACCCATGCCTGGCTGACAGTCTTACTTAAACCATCACACCCTCAGGCACCTGCCCAGCCCACAGCTGACCGGGTCCCTAACGTGTTGCAGCGTGTCTGTGTGTGCCTGTCTTGCCTGCTGCACTCTGAGACTGTGTCACCCTCATCCGTCCCCAGCACGGTACTCGATATACAGTAGCTGGTGAGTAAATGTCTGATAAAGGAGTGAAATGCTTTGGAACTTGTAACCGCCCATCACAGTGTGACATCTGGCATTAATAAAAGATCAGAGTGAGGTCTTTAGTCCCCATCTTTTCTGTTCCCCAGGTGTGCCTGTGTTCTCTGTTCTGTTTTTGTTCTTCGTGGGCCTGAGTTTCTGTAAACTGTGGCTGACATTTAAGTGGCTCATTGAGGTCCCAGGCATAAGGTGAAACAGAATTACCTGGTAGAGATTTCAAAGTGCTCTGAAAGGTAAATATCCTCAACCCTCCACACCTTTAGAATGGTCATTTTGACTACCAAGTAGAGAAAGCCTGCCTGAGAACAAAGTCTGCACAGAAGGAATCAGCATCGAGTGCAAGAAGACAAGGCACCTTCTGATGACATGGGCTGAGCACCTGGAACCAGCCATACCTGAATGAAGCTGGCATGCCTGCACTT